GTAGTGTTTGGGAAGGATTGATTTTTTTTTCATTTTATTTGATGTTTTGTCCCCCCCCCCCCGATGAAATAAAGCTTAGCCCCCCAAAACTGGGTTAAGGAAAAGTGTGTCCCAGTTAGTCTAATGGGTCTTCAGGACGTCAGCTTGCCCATACAAACTGCTGTCATATCAGGACATTCTGTACCCAAGGTGAACTTCCAGACCACAACTGAAGTGCTCATATCACGCCGACACTGTTGTGAAAAGTATCAAGGTTTTTCCATCAAATAAAAAAAGATCCATCGGTTCTGGCTGTGGAATGTCCCTCAGCAGCAGAAAGGTCTAATGCAAGTCAATGGACATCCTTAGACCATGGGAGCCCAGGGAAGAAGACACTGAGGGGACCAGTCTAGCAGTCAGACAGCACCGAGTATCGATCGGGTGAGTATATCTTTTTTATTTTAGACCCTAGACCAGAACGAGCATGTAACCCTTGCAGTGTGAGTTCTTCTTGGAATGCAAATGGATATTGATCTGCTTTCAGAGTCATGTACACCCTACAGAGCGCCGATTACATATATAGGGGCAGTATGTACCTCGTTATCATCCTATGTACGCAGACTTTTGGCACTGACTGAGCTCGGCCAATTGATGTGTATCTCTAGCCAAAACATTTGTCTAGTGTTGGATGAAGCGCAGAAGGCTTAAGGCCGTGACACACTGCACGCGAAGCCGTGCAGAGCGAAGCAAAGCTCTCCGGCACGGAGCTTCGCGTGCAGTGTGTGAGCTGAGTGCAGTCAGATGATTGAATGCACCTTCAGCCAATCGGCTCGTCTGTAACAACCGGCCAGACGTCGCATCCCGTCGCGCGGGTTTATACGCGCGAGCTGATTGGCTAAAGTTGAAATTGTTCATCTCGGCACGCTCAGCTCTGCGAGCTCTCGCAAGCTGAGGTGCCGAGAAGAAAGTGACATGACACACTGCTCGCATCGTCAGCGCGCCACCGCTCCACGCTGCTTCGCGTGCAGTGTGTCACGGCCTTTAGGCCCCCATCAGGCTTTTATTGCTGTGCCCTACTGGGGAGACTCAACCTCTATTTGTCCTGATGACTGTTGTCATACAGAGAGAAAGCAATGGGAAATCCTAAACTTTACAGTTGTCACCCAGAACAGGAGGTGAGGGGAAATCTTCCAAAGGAGACATCTGTTCCAGTAACAGCCAAGAGGGAATTTCCCTCTTTGGAGGGATTTCCTTCCACTTAATGCTGCTTTTCCAGATTGGCATGTGAAGGGAAATCTCCCCAATGGGACACAGATCTAAAAAAAGAAAAAGAACGAGGGCTCTAACTATTACATATTCTATAAAAAAAAAGTTTAGGCCACTGCATATACAGTAATAAATATGGAGTAACTGCTAATTGCTGCAGCGGGGGTTACTATGCCGGCAGCGGATAGAAAAGTCAGACCGCAGCTCTCCAACATAAAGCAGCGGCCCGGGTCTCCAACAGTGCGGCTCTCATAGAGTATGTACTGTCACATTTTAGAAGTGCCGAGATACTTCATGCAATCCATTTACTAGAGTTCACTGACCAAGGCCAGGCTATTAGACATGTGCGATTCGTTTTGTTTTCAGAAATTCGGGCACATCCGAATTTCCAAACCCCAATTCATCCAAATCCGAATTTCCGTTTACGAATTTTGGATCCCATCCGAATTTCATTCAACAACTAAACTGCATCGGACATGTGACTTTTCTGGCCAATCAGATGTGTTTTTCGGTTTAGTGCATCAGAATGGGTCTGAACACGAATTTTAATTATGGCAACATGGGAGCCATATACAGTATATACATATAATACTAAAGTTGAGGCTCCCGGACCCGAATGGCATTCGGGATCCGAATTGCTTTTGGGAGCTCCTGAATGCCATTCGGGTCTGGAAGCCTTAGCTTTAGTGATATATGTAAATGGATCCCAGACCCGAATTGCATTCAGGATCCGAATTTCCAAATTGCTTTTGGGAGCTCCTGAATGCCATTCGGGTCTGGGAGCTTCAGTTTTAGTATTAGTATCTGTATATGGTTTTCTGTGGTATTCGCAACGAATAGTCCTAAACTCATCCGAAACTAATGAAAATTCGGATTTCCGCAGAATCCATAACCTGCACCGAATCCAGAAAAAACTAAATATCCGAACCGAACCAAATTTTTCCACAGCTTACATGTCTACAGGCTATTATAATCAATAGTGTAGGGCGGAGGGCAGGTGTAGAGTTTTCTATGGAATGGGTCATGTTGAAGGGTCTGCTGATCTAGTTATATAAATCCTCTCTACCAGAACACAGATAAGATTATTATACAAAAAAAAAAGGCAGTTAACGTTAAAGGTGAACTATGAGGTGAGTGCTTTTCACTCACCTCATAGTTCTAGCTGACCTGTGACAACAAGACTGTCACAGGTCGGTTCAGTAGATCGGGAGGTGAGCGAACACATACCGGCGTTCGCTCACCTCTCGATCTTGTCACAGCTCTCTGCCGTGACAGGGGAGGGGCTGGATTCCCCCCTCCCCGCTCTGATCCGCCAGCGCTGACTGGGGGATCGGACGGGGGAGGGGGCGGGAACAGCTGGCTCTGCCTCTAGATAGGCAGAGCCAGCTGTCAGTCACGCAGCTGGGCGGATCTCGACATAATTGTCGGGATCCGCTTCAGCTGCGGCATCTCAGTATACCGCGAGCAGTAGCTCGCGGTATACTGTGGCGTCTCAGTAAAGCGCGAGCTGTAGCTCACGCTATACTGATCTTAGGGTGACTGGAGGACGCTAGTTTGTGTCCTCCCGTTACCCTAAGGAGAACTATGGGGAAAAGCCTTAACCTCATAGTTCTACTTTAAATGAGATAGATAGGCAGAGCCAGCTGTCACCCATGCAGCTGGGTGGATCCAGACATAATTGTCGGGATCCGTTCCGGCTGTGGCGTCTCAGTATACTGCGAGCTGTAGCTCGCGGTATACTGATCTTAGGGTGACTGGAGGACGCTAGTTTGTGTCCTCCCGTTACCCTAAGGAGAACTATGGGGAAAAGCCCTAACCCCATAGTTCTCCTTTAATTGCAAAGAGGTAAAACACTATGTGCTGGCAGCACACAAGAGAGTCGGACCATGGCTCCCTCACACACAAAGCAGAGGCCTGGGTCTCCAGCAGTCCGACTCTCCTAGGTGCTCCCAGCACAGGGTATTATAACTCTCTGTCTTCCTCTGTGCACCTCCTACTTGTTAAAAAGTTAAAGGGTCTATAGGTATGAAGTGTACACAAACCCTAACAATTAACTTCTCGTATTGACTCCCCTTTTGTCTGTTGAATATGCAATTAAAGGATTTTCTCATATCTGTTCAGCAAAGTGCAAACAAATACCTGTTGATCCTGCCAGAAATTCAATTACGAGAATTTATCAAAACTGGAGCAGTCAGATCCTGGAGCATTTAGCCAACCAATCAGCTCCTAGCTCTCATTTTCAAAGCTTAACTGAACACACTGAGAGAGAAGCTGATTAATTACTATGGACAACTGCTCCAGTTTTATGCCCAGTGTATTTCCTGTGTACTCTGCTGCA